TATAAGGAGAACAGTAAATATTTATCACTGAAATTTGGATGTTCCGACTTTCTTTTTATACATGCACAAATATCAAAAGGCACTTTATGCGCTTTGTCTCTTGTATCTCCCCCGAATAAAAACGTGAACTTTAGGTAGTCAGAAAAGAAACTCGAGAAACGCTGTATTTATTTTACATCCTTTCTCACGAGGTTAGAATAAGCTCCTGAAACAAGCAAACAAAGGAATAAAACGTACATGAATGAAAGTAAAATTTGCACAAATTTGGAACGATTGTTTAAAAAGAACAGAATCCAAATTTTTTTTATATGTTATAACGATATATATTTTTGTTGATATATCGTGCCATAATGACTGAATTATATTATAATGATGATCTTACAATAAGTTTGTAAACATTTCAGGAAATTGCTGCAGTACGAGCCATAGACAACACAGATCCGATAAAAAAAAAGTTTAAGGTACGAAAAAGTTTTCCAATCAGAACGTATTTGGCTGAACCTTTCTTTCCTCAGTAACCAACCAGCCAGAGTGAGACAATCAACGAATGGAACGAAGGAAGAAGTTGTCGAGTGCCCACAAGATATCTCTCCCAATGAATTCCTCAATCGAGCTTTAACATGGAGGACTATCTATAACGTTTGCCGACTGCTTAATAGTTCTTGACTCGACCTTCTGCCGCAATCTTTCTTTCTTCCTGGACACTTCAAACTTCGAGCGAATGAAATGAACTCACATACGGCTACAATTAATAACGGTCCTCGAATACAGAAAGAGAGATTATCCTTCTACATTTATGTACATTTCTCGTGGTATTGGATCATCTCAAAAGATCCCGCAATTTTAAACGGTTATACTTTGAAGTAATATAACTTCACAGGAAGCCAACTGCGTACTTTAAGCGAATTAAGATATTTAAGAAGAATTGAAAGAATACGAAGAATCTGGCTTGGATTTTTTCTGTTTCCAGAGATAAGAAACCTTTGACAATGGTCATCCAAAGAAATTTCACATAATTAGCCACGAGGGTCGCTCCAATTGATACTTATGCGATGATAAAAGATCATGTTTTCCTATGGGTAACGACAAAAGAAAAATGTAATTGACGTATAAAGAAGGTGTATTATCGAAAGAGAAATTGAAATACTTAAAAATTCCAGCATTGCAACGAGTGTTATACAGCGAGCGTCCCGACGCTTGTTTCCACGGGCAACGTGCGCCGATGGATCAAACTGTATCACGTGTTTCAGAAACTCCAGGGATCCACCTTTTATCGAGCAGCATTTAGTTCTGCCGCAAAAGTGCGGCGTATCATGATTAGTTTCTATAGCCACGTGTTCGACGTTTCCTTCGCCCTATGAATGTTGACTGACTGGACACCAGATCCGCAATTTTCCCACCGGCGACCCTGGCAACTTTAATTTAGGTGAGAGCAGTCGAGAAGTAAGTAACCGCAACGTGTGTTCCGTTAGAAAACAGCGAGGAGAAAAAGATGAAAAGAAAGGAAGGAAAGAAAGGGCTACGATAATTGCGATTTTTATCTCACAAGTTCACCTACCCCCTCCTACCCCCCCCCTCCCCCCTTAAAATATAAGCAGTCGACTTGCATGGCGCGATTTGCATTTAAATGGGATTTGAATTGTTTCAAAACACTGTAAAAACATTTCGCCGATGATTGCACATCGCGGCCGTCAAAGGGAAAGGTCTAACGATCGTTCCCTGACGAACGAGATAACTCGCTTGATGAACGAAAATACAAATGGGCAAAGATGAAGGGAAGATTGAGGCGAGAATCGTGGCCATAGCATGTCGAGAACAGGCAATTTCATCTTTCACCTACGATTTATTTTCGCGAAAATAATTTAAGCTGAGCTTATATATATATATATATATATATATAATCTAAGCTTTTCAATTCGAGATTTGAGATTTTCTCGAGCATCTGATAGCACGAAGATAAGAAATTCTTGCGAATTAGAAACAACACGGTGAACCATTGAAAAGGATTTGTTGACGAGAAAATTCAATGTGCGAAGGTGAAAAGCGAGCAAGGCAGGCGCAAGAAAACCACGACGAAGTGAAAGAAAAAGAAAAAAAAAAAAAAAAAAAAACGCGGATATTCAATGGCTACGCTCGCGGCGGATGGTTCTTCACGGTTCTCCCCGGCGGAACGGCCAGCAATTTTAGCGGCGCTCGAGGAGTTCACGAACGCGCTGGCCATTTACCACAGTACACTGAGAAAGCCCACGGAGCACGATAACGATATTCTCGTCGACTGCTTGCCCCTCGATACGGAGTACGTTATACAATGATACTAATCTAGACTAATGATAACGCAGCGGAAAGATGACACACACACACACACACACACACACACGTACACTCGCCTGAAGAAATTTTTTGACTTTCACGTTTGTTGCAGAAATTTGAAAGTACTAAATCCCGAGGAGATCATAAGGATCCAAGATGCGAAAGAGCAAGCCATTTCGAAGAAAATTTATGAAAACAGGTTAGAGGGAACGCATGTGGAGGTTTCTGTTTAGGGATTAAAGGTATATACGCGTGTACTGAAAAAAATCCGGATCTCAATTTAGCATAGAGGTACTCGTCTATCACTATATATATATATATA